GAGGAGGAGGCGGCGGCTGCTGCTACTCCTGCTGCGGCTGCGGCCGCTGCACCTCCAGCTGATACTACTGCTGCGGCTGCTCCTCCGGCTGCGGCTGCTGCTGCTGCTCCTCCAGCTGCCGTAGCTCTAGCAGCTGCCGCTCCAACTCGAGGCCCTCTCTCTCCAACTCCAGCTGCTCCTCACGTGCACGGCGAAGACGGGCCTGGTGCCGGGTCAGTTAGGGGTGCGGGCGCGGAGTAGTGTCCGGGGCAGGGGCAGCCCCAGGACTACCCTCCAAGGCACCAGCCGCACCACCCCCAGAGCCAGCACCACCAGAAGTAACAGGGTCAGTCCCAGGCTCTCCAGGTCCAGCAGAGGGCGCACCCCCAGTCGTAGCATTTTCAGGGACATCTCGACTAACACCAGCTCCTTGAAGACTAGAGTCCCCAGCAGGTTCGGGCTCAGCTCCAACTCCAGCACCCCCAGAACCAGGACCTCGCACAGGTACGCTCTCAGCTCCAACTCCAACTCCTCTAGAGCTAGCACCTCCAGGGTCCTCGCCACGAACACCGGCTCCCGCAGGGTCTGCAGTAGGCTGTGAGGAGGACTGCGGGGAAGGAGGCTGCACCTGAGGGGCTACCGAGGGGGGAGGGGTAGTGTGGGACACACCTAACGAGGCTGGACTGGGGGGGGGGGGATTACCGGGGGAGCAGGAAGGGAAGCGGAAATCAAGAATAGAGGGGGAGGAGGAACCGGGAGACCTTGACAGGGGTACCTGACGTAGAAGGGGACGGACTCCTCAAAACGAACGTCACGGGAGTCAAAGAACCGGTGAAGGGGAGGGTGGTAAAAGGTGAAGTCAGAGGAGTCCTCTGGGAAACCAAGGAAGACACAGGGAACGGCGCGAGGCGAGATCTTGTCCGCGGAGGTGTCGCGAACAAGTGCCAAGCAACCCCAGACACGAAAACGCGACGCAGCACCAGGGGACTTGGTCCAAAGACTGGTCGGTGAAACCTCTGGCCGAGGATCAGCTGGTGAGCGGCGTACCGAACCGCGTAGGGCCACAGAAAATGGGGGGCACAGACGTGAGTCATGGAGGTGTGGGCGATCTCCATGACCAAGCCTATGCGGCGCTCAGCAACCCCATTCTGCTGTGGGGACTCTGGAAGCGTCCAGGACTGACGGATGCCCTGCTCGCGACAGAATCCAGCGAGAACGCCGGAGCGAAACTCACCCCCTCGGTCGGTGTAAAAACAGCGGACACAACAACCACAAGTGTCTGCAGTGGTAAGTAACCACCTGATGAGTGTAGATGTCACCTCGGACTTCTTCGCTAGGGGAAACATTGTGGTATAGTGGGAGCAGTCGTCAACAACCACAAAAAGAAACGCTCGCGCTCAGGGCCAGGGCGAGAGGCGGGGCACCAGACGTCCAAGTGGAAAGTCTCAAAGGGATCGGTGGCCGAACGAAGGGAGAAGAAGTGAGGGGTGGCGCGCAGCCGACCCTCGACGCAGGGACCGCAAGGTGGTGCAAGCGAAGGCGGCAGACACGGGAGGCTTAAGACAAGACGCTGACGAGATATAGCGCGCAGGCGAGGAACGGACAGGTGCCCCATCCGGTGGTGCCACAGAACGGTGGGGTGGGCAAGCGACCGGCAGGAGCAAGACGCAGCGACTGGACCAAACACGGGAACCTGACCAGACACAACTACCTGGTAAGATGCGGCAACCTGGTGAGACGCGGGGACCTGACGGGGGGCAGTGACAGGGGTCGGGAGCAGTAGCTGCTGCGGCTGCTGCTGCTGCTGCTGCTGCTACCGCTGATGATGCTGCCGCTTCTACCCTTGGGGGCCAGTGTGAAGTGTGTAGAGACCAGAGCCCGGCTCAGCGGTAAAGGTGGCCACAGGCGCGCACGTGTCATCGTGTACACAAACCGCAGTCTCCCCAGAAGGCTCAATCCAAACACCCACGTGACTACTCACGAGCGGCCTCACACGCACCAAGTTCCTGTAGAACGAGGGGACGTGGAAGCCCTTAAGGAAACCCGAGGGAACAGCTGGGCACGGAAGCGTAGTAGTATAGCGAGTAGTGACTGGTCCCGAAGTGGGATCAGCCAGTGCTACAGAGACCGGCGCAGGAAGCGGAGTAAGCGTCGTGTGGTCGCGGAAGAAACTGTGCAAAGATACCGAACGGAGGTTGCTCTCGACGTCCTTGAGGTAGGGTGCTTCAGAAGATGCGCGTTACGAACCGAGGCAAGGTGGTCAGGGAGGCTAGTGGCGATGGAATAGATAGTAACTGTTATGGGGGGAGGGAGAGGTGCAAGCTGTGCGTCAGTGCTGGCAGCGCGGTAGCTAGAATCGAGCGAGCGCAGGTGAGCGATCAAGTCAGCAAGGTGCTTAAACAAGGCGAGGTCAGGAAACAGGAACGGGAGAAACAGTCGATCAAGAAAGACAGTGGTGGGAGTAGCGTAGCGGGCCTTGATCGCAGTCAGGAACTCACTAGCCGTGCGAACCTGAGTGAAGTGGGTCTCCTCAGACTCAGGGAGGAGGCTGCTGAGGGCGATGCAGGCCGCAGCGTCACGCGACTTCCACGCGGTCAGCTCAGCAGGCTGGCGTCCATAACGATCTCTGTCTGCAGTGCTGGCGTGAACGCCTAAAGGTGCAGGGTCGGAGGGTGCAGGAAGGTCACTGGAAGCGTGAGCCCACAGAAACTTGTCTGTCTAAACCTGACTCTCTAGGAGGCGGCACGCACGAAGGAGCCAGACCGAGAATTCGAGCGGCCTACCATCAGCGTCAAAGCGCAAGACCCTAGGGGTTGCCATAGCGAAAGTGAATTGGTGGGAACAGCTGCTTCCGAAACCCTAAACGCCTAAAGGGCCTGAGTAGGGCGTGACAGGCAGTGCGTGAGGCTCAGGGCATTGCGGGATGATAAGGTAGGGCGCGACACGGCAGGACGGATAGCGCGACGCGACGGGACAGGACGGGCGCAGCGCGGCGCGGCAGGACGGGCGCGGCGCTGTGTGGCTAGACGAGAGGGGACGCGCGCGGCGCGGCGTAGTAGGGCAGGACAGGATGGGCGCGGCGTGACGTTGCACGGCAGGCAGGGACGGGACAGGCGCGGTGCGACGCTGGGCGGCAGGACGGGACGGAATAGCGCGGCGGGGCGGGACGGCCAGGCGCAGCGCACGAGACGTGACGGGACGGACAGAGACGGGCGCAACGCGACGGACAGACGCGACGGACGGGACGGGCAAGGGGGAGCGTAACGCGACGGGGAAAGCGGGCGCGACGCGACCGGAAGGCGCAGCGGGCGCTAGTGTACGGTACGGGCATGACTAACACTAGGGTACGGGACAGGCTCGGGCGCTACGGGCGTGAACGGGAGGAACGGGATCCCACGGGGTCCTAACCTAGGTAATATCATGCCAAGAACTGAATGATGGTTTGACTAAGGTTGGTTAGGGTAAATAAACCCAACCTTAACTGTTGTACCCCATATGACACCCATCACTAACGGCTATAACATTTGACACCTGGCTACGATCTAACTAATCACAACACAACTGATTCCCAACGAGCGTCCCAACCGAAGACTAGCTAGTAAGAAGGAAAACAAGAGGCGACTAGGTCGTCCTAGGGTTGCGAAGCAAATTGGTATGAAACTTTTTCATTGTAGTGTAGTATGAAACCATAGTAGCGTGGTACAAAGTGGTGCATCATCTTTCCTAAAAAGTACGAATCCGTCCTGGAGTTGGAATCGAACCCTCGACCTTTCGCCTCTCGTGTTTCTCTTATCCGTTCCTCTTTCCGTATTAGTCTGAACTTTATCCTTGTTCATTAGACATGAACTTCTGTTTGTTTCCGTTGCATCTCGTTTCCGTTTCAACAATGTTTTTCTTGAATTGGTTTATTCTACGTTATAGGTTCTTTGTTAACCAGCACTCGTTTATAGTTTTGAACGGTCCTCTTATTGGGCTCTTCATTCTTAGATCGGTTTCTTAATTATTTGTTCCCTTTCTTCTTTTGTAGTTCTTTTGTTTCTGTTGCACCTAGTTTCCTTGCTTCTCTATTTTCTCTTGTTTCTCTGATCCTTTTTATTTTGTTTCACCTCTTTCCATATGCTTCTTTCAGCATGTTTGTTATCTGATTCTTGTATCCATGTTAACTAACTGGTTCTTTTTTTTTTTTAATGGAAATTGGATGTATCAAATCAGTTCAGCACGTGAATAGCAAAAGTATAATGTATTGTGTCATTGCTTGGATTCTTTGCGTTTCTGTTGTACAATTTTGCACCTTATCCTCATTGTTCCATATTTGTCTTTCTTTCTTTCTATTGTTGATTCTTTCCCTTGTTGTTTTCTTCAGGAAGTGAAGGTTTTTTTGGACGGTGCAAAGCAAAGATAAGATGGTTCCATGTAGGATTATATGTATATGGCTAGGGTTTAATTTTGCTTTTAGTTTTTTATTATTATTTTTTAACAGTTGATGCATTGAGCGTTTTTCGTTTGTGTGAATATGTGTGATCATGTGCATGTCTTTGTATCTGTCTATGTGCGTGTGTGTTTGCATTGTGTTGTGTGCGTATGTGTTTTCATTCATGCTTCCATTGCATTAATAACACATGTCTGTGGGTTTTAAAAAATTGGATCAAACTATCATTTCCGAGAAGGTTCTTTGCCCACTCAGTGAGTGTGTTCATTTGAACTGGATTTGATAGAATTGTGTCAGAATGAGAAATGGATGATGCATTGATGTTGGTTGGGGTACATATAGCTAACCCTAAGTTTTGTACCCCCTAAGACAAACCTCACTATAGGCTACAACATTTGACACACCCCCATAGCCTAAGTGAGGGGTGTCTAGCAGAACCAAACGAGTACGGTCACAAGACCAGTCCAAGAAACGAAGCTCAGGGTGGATCACAACGTCACCACACAGTCTGAGCACAAACAACAGTGGCCACAAGGCCAGTCCAAGAAGTAACAGAGATATATAGAAAGCAAAGTAAACAGTACACTCAAGTCTAAGCAACACGAGAACCAGTGTCAACAAGGCCTAACTGCACACAGCACCTCTGGTGGTCACAAGGCGGAAGCGCCTTGGTGAAGATGTCTGCAGTGTTGGCCTCGGACTCCACAAACTCAAAGCGAGCCTGTCCACGCCTCTGCAACTCTCGCAGAAGAAAGTACCTGACGTGAATGTGCTTCACTCTGCTCTCCAGTCGTGGCTCTCGACAAAGGAGAATAGACGCCTTGTTGTCAGTGAACAAGGTCGGTGCAGAGCTCGGCCGCTCACCAAGGTCGGTGAGCAAGAAGGTCAACCAACGCAGCTCCTGTGCCGCCATGGCACCAGCGTAGATCTCAGCCTCAGCTGTAGAGGTCGAGACCGAAGAGGAGCGCGTGGACCGCCAGGAAACAGCTCCAGAACCCAGGCTGAAACAGTACCCCTGAGTAGACCTGTGAGTCTCAGCGTCGTCAGCGTAAGAGGAGTCACAGTGACCAGTAAGTACGACAGACTGCTGCCCTCCAAGAACTAGCCCCACGCCTGATGTCGTCGCTAGGTACTTCGCCACCCTCACAGCTGCTGTCCAGTGAACAGGACGGTGTCTCCCTGGCGCAACAAAGCGCGCAAGAACGCTGAGAGGGAAGGCGAGGTCCGGGCGAGTACAAGTCATCAGGTACATGAGGCAACCCACAAGCTCTGCGTAGGGACCACTAGGCTCGAACGGCTCGTCAGGAAAGGGTCCAGTGAGTCTGTGGTCAACAGCAAGAGGTGTGCGCTGTACTGTGGAGTGCTGAAGCCCGAACCGCTGAAGGACCTGCTGCACCATGTGTGACTGTGAAAGTGTAATGGTGCGAGCAGCTCTGTCCCTGGTGATCTGCAAGCCAAGGTAGTGGCGCAGCTCACCAAGATCAGTGCAGGTGTGTCTCTTCTGCAGTTCGGACTTCACGTGTGCCAAAGCAACCCTGTCAGGGGTGGCGAAAACAAGGTCGTCAACGTAGACCAGAACAAAGAAAGGTGTGGGGCCACGACGAACGAACAGCGACGGGTCAGCAGAAGACGGCTGGAACCCAAGGTCAGACAGGGTAGAACGCAGGGTGTCGTGCCACTCACGAGGAGCCTGACGAAGACCGTAAACCGGTCGCCTCAGCCTCCACTGGGTCCCAGGAGGGAAAGAGCCAGTGAAGGCAGAGGGACGACGCAACCAGACCTCCTCGTGAAGACTGCCCTGAAGGAAAGCAGTAGAGAAGTCGAGAGAGTGTAACTCGTAGTCTCTCTGTGCTGCTACGTGTAGTAACACCCGAAGAGTGGTCATCTTCGGGGTGGGCGCGAAGGTCTGAAAGAAGTCAACTCCCTCGCGCTGACTGAAACCTCTAGCCACGTAGCGCGCCTTGAAGACCGGAGGAGATCCCGGTGGCCGCTTCACCCTGTAGATCCACATGCCGTCGACTACGTTCGCCCCCGGAGGGGGAACCTCATCGACGTAGGTGCCTGTGGATCTGTAGGAGGCCATCTCTGCGTCCATGGCAGCTCTCCACTGAGAGGCCCAAGGCCCTGACACTGCCTCAGCATAAGTGCGAGGAGTCGGAATGTCAAGGGCGTCGGGGTCACCCTCAGGGGCGAGGAGCATGGCACAGAGATGAGGGGAAGCGGCGGCCAGGAACTCTAGCTCAAACTGCCTGTCCTCTAGGGCGTCACAGCCAAGGGCAGACACACCCCCGACGGCCAGAGGACTGGAAGGAGGAGCAGCCACAAGAGCGGTGGCGAAGTCAAGGCGGCGGGTAGAGGCAAACTCAGTGACTGCGGCAGTAAGAGCGGACACAGAGGACACAGAGGCACGAGGGTGGGTAACAAGAGAGGCGAGAACACGAGAGAGAACAGGACGGTACGTGCGGTAGTAGTCAGTGACAGGAGTAGGAAGCGACGCAGTGAGGGCCGACTCAGGAGGAGACGGAAGCACAGACGGAGACGGACGAGGTGGACGAGAACAAAGGAAGGCTGTACGAAGGTCAGTGAAGGGAACAGGAGACGAGGGACGAGCACGAGGGGAGCGACGAGAGGCCCAAGTCTGAGAAGGAGGAGGAGACAACGAAGACTGAGAACGAGGGAAAACAGCGGGAGAGGGGTCAGGAGGAGGAAGCGGAGGACCAGAGACGGGAGGAGAGGGGGAGGAGGAAGGAGAGGGAGAGGGGAGACCAAGGGTCCGAAGACCCGAGACAGGAGGAGGAGACGGCAGCAGCTGCTGCTGCTGCTGCTGCTGCTGCTGCTGCTGCTGCTGCGGCTGCTGGGGCTGCTGCGGCTGCTGCTGCTCCAGCGGCTGCTGCCCCTGCTGCTGCTCCTGCTGCTGTCGCTCCTGCTCCTCGAGCCGCTGCAACTCTCGCTCCTCTCTCTCCAACTCCAGCTGCTCCTCACGAGCACGGCGAACACGAGCCTGGAACCTGGTCGAGTAGGGATGGGGGGAAGGAGTAGTGTCCGGGGCAGCGGCAGCCCCAGAGTCGACCTCCGAAGCACCAAGCACACCACCCCCAGAGGCAGCACCAACACCAGCTCCAGACCCAGGCTCTCCAGAAACCGAAGGGACACCCTCACCCCCAGACGCAGCACCCCCAGACTCCGCACCAGCACCCCCAGACTCCGCACGACCAGTACCAGCCCCCGGAAGACAAGAGTCCTCTGCAACCCGCGGCTCAGCTCCAACTCCAGCACCCCCAGAACCAGAGACCTGTACAGGGACAGTCGCAGGACCAACCTCCCGAGAGGGAGCACCTGCAGGAGGCGGCGAGGAAGACTGTGGGGAGGGAGGCTGTACAGGGGGGGCTACCGAAGGGGGAGGGCTAGCCTGAGACACACCAGACGGGGCTGGACCAGGGGGGGGAGGCTGTACCGGGGGAGCAGGCGGGGGAGCGGCGGTCAGGAAGAGAGGGGGGGGAGGGACCGGGAGACCTCGACTGGGGTACCTGACGTAGTAGGGGGTGGACTCCTCGAAACGGACGTCACGGGAGTCAAAGAACCGGTGAGAGGGAGGGTGGTAAAAGGTGAAGTCAGAGGAGTCCTCAGGGAAACCAAGGAAGACACAAGGAACGGCGCGAGGCGAGAGCTTGTCCGCGGAGGTGTCGCGGACAAGAGCCAAGCACCCCCAGACACGAAACCTCGACGCGACACCAGGGGACCCTGTCCAAAGACTGGTCGGTGAAGCCTCCGGCCGAGAGACGCGTGGCCAGAGGTTCAGCTGGTGCGCGGCGTACCTGACCGCGTATGGCCACAGGAAATGGGGGGCACGGGCGTGAGTCAAGGAGGTGCGGGCAATCTCCATGACCAGGCCTATGCGACGCTCAGCAACCCCATTCTGCTGTGGGGACTCCGGAAGCGTCCAGGACTGACGAATGCCCTGTTCGCGACAGAATCCAGCGAGAATGCCGGAGCGAAACTCGCCCCCGCGGTCGGAGTGGAGACAGCTGACACGACGACCACGAGTGTCCTGCGTGGTAAGCAACCACCTGATCAGCGTAGAAGTCACCTCAGACTTCTTCGCCAGGGGGAACACTGTGGTGTAGCGGGAGTAGTCGTCAACGACCACCAAAAAGAAACGCTCACGCTCAGGGCCAGGGCGAGGAGAGGGGCCCCAGACGTCCAAGTGCAGCGTCTCAAAAGGCTCGGTGGCCGGACGAAGGGAGGAGGAGTGAGGGGTGGCGCGCAGCCTACCCTCGACGCAAGGACCGCACGGTGGTGCAAGGGACGGCGGCAGCGACGGCAAGACACGCGGGAGACCTAAGACAAGACGCTGACGAGACATAGCGCGAAGACGAGGAGGAGAAGGGTGCCCCAGCCGGTGGTGCCACAAAACGGTGGGGTGGGCAAGCGACCGACAGGAGCACGACGCAGCGACCGGACTAGACGGAGGAACCTGACAAGACACAGCTACCTGGGGGGACGGAGCAACCTGGTGAGACGCGAGGACTCGAACGGGGGGCAAAACAGGGGCCGGGGGCAGGAGGGGCGGCTGTGGCTGCGGCTGCTGCTGCTGCTGCGGCTGCTGCTGCTGCTGCAGTCGCTGCTGAGCGCGCGGGCCAGTGTGAAGAGTGTAGAGACCGGAGCCCGGCTCAGCAGCAAAAGTGGCGAGGGGCTGGTAAGAGTCCCCGTCAACACACACCGCAGTCTCTCCAGAAGGCTCAAACCACACACCCACGTGCTGACTCACGAGGGGTCGCACGCCCACCAAGTTCCGGGAGAACGAGGGGACGTGAAACCCAGTGAGAGACCCAGAAGGAGCAGCCGGACACGGCAAGGTGGTAGTGTGACGCGCGGTGACTGGTCCCGAAGTGGGATCAGCCAGCGCCACAGAAACAGGCGCAGGAAGAGGCGTAAGTGTCGTGCTGTCACGAAAGAAGCAGTGAGAGGCTCCAGAGTCCAGCGTGAACGACAGCGAACCGTCCTCTGAGGTAGCCGCTGGACTAGAGTCTACACAAGAACCTACACTAGCAACAGGCAACTGAGCAAGGCTAGCACCTAAGCTAACAACACCAGAGTAAACAGAGTCAGAAACACTAGAGTCAACAACAGCATACATAGCATGGGGACGACCAATCAGATCAACTAACTGCTCAGCAGACATGCCCCACAGAGCGGAGCCGTAACGCTGAACAAGAGGCAGCCAGTCAGGGGCAGGAGCACCAACCCCGTAGACCAAACGAACCGTGTCAGTAAGCTGAGCAAAGCACTGACCAGGGGGGTGAAACCGGCCACAAGGGTGGCCACGACGAGTGCCTGTCAGAACCTGGTAGGTGCAGGGAGTGTAAGCAGCACAGTGCTGGGTCTGACGCAGCCCCGACCCTGGAGCCAGCTGCTGCCGCTGCTGCTGCTGAGGCTGCTGGGAGGAGAGGGGCTGCTGGTGCTGCAGAAGCTGCTGCTGACGCTGAGCCTGGTACCACGCCGCTGCTCCACCAACCGGGGCAGGAAGTACAGGAGGCGACTGACGAACTCGGGCGTCGCCACCACCAGCAGGCGCAGTGGAGTCACCAGTCACTGCACGAGGCGCCTCTCCAGGCCCTGAACCTCCACCGCCGCCAGGCGCAACGCCACCTCCACTACCTCCGCCTCCACCTCCACTACCACCACCAGAACCGCCTTTCTTGCCACTCCTACCGCGGGACCGCGACGAAGTCGTAACAGCAGCTGCAGTCGCGTCAGTAGCGGCAGTGGCAAGTGAGGCAGTAAAGGTGGGTAACTGCGGGACTGTGCACCCGTGGAAGAGTGGGGGGGGCACAGCACCAGAGGCAGCGGCTACCGAGCGAAGGTTGCTCTCGACGTCCTTGAGTGCAGACTCAAGGACCTCGACGGTGAGCTCACTAGGGTGCTTCAGCAGAAGCGCGTCGCGAACGGAGGCAAGGCGGTCAGGGAGGCTAGTGGCGATGAAATAGATAGTAATTGCCATAGGGGGAGGAAGCAGTGCAAGCTGTGCCTCAGTGCAAGCAGCGCGGTAACTAGCGTCGAGCGAGCGGAGGTGAGCGATCAAGTCAGCAGAGCGCTCAAAAGACGCTAGGTCAGGAAACAGGAACGGGAGGAACAGGCGGCCAAGAGAGACAGCAGCGGGAGTAGAGTAGCGGGCCTTAATCGCAGTGAGGTACTCAGCAGCGGTGCGAACCTGAGTGAAGTGAACCTCCTCAGACTCAGGGAGGAGGCTGCTGAGCGCGATGCAGGCCGCAGCGTCACGTGACTTCCAAGCCGTCTGGTCAGCTCGCTGAGTAGCAAAGCGGGCTCTAGCGGCGTCGTCAGGGGCAGGTCCTAAAGGCGTAGGGTCGGAGGGCGCAGGTAGGGCACCAGTAGCGTGCGCCCAGAGGGTCTCGCCTGCCTGGACCTGACTCTCTAACAGACGGCGAGCACGAAGAAGCCAGACGGAAAAATCAAGAGGTCTACCGTCAGCGTCGAAACGAAGGACGCGAGGGGTCGCCATAGTGTGCAAACGGAATTGGCAGGGAAAGCAGGGTGCAGCGGCAAGGGGGAACGGGCAGGAAGAGCGGGCAAGAGCAGGCGGGTAGGTAAGGTGTGGCGGGCGTCTAGGGTAGGAGCGCGCGGGCTAGGGCAGGAGCGCGCGGGCGGGTAGGGCAAAGGCGCCGGGCCAGGGCGACGGGCTGGGGCGCGGGCCTGGGCGACGGGCTAGGACGCGAGTGTTGAGATAGCTAGGCAAGGTGAAGTTGACTATCGAGAGAAATTTTACAAGTAGGAAAACCCTAAGGGGTTATCCCCTATAACATCTACCCCACTACAGCCTACCAATATGTATCACACATATATATCATTTGACACACCCCCATAGGCAAAGTGGGGGAGAGCAACGGGTCACAAGACCAGTCAAGAGAAACAAAACAAGCTCAGGGTGGATCACAACGTCACCACACATTCTGAGCACAAGCAAATGGCCACAAGGCCAGTTCACATGCAGAGATATATATGCAGCAATGACAGTACAGTGTCGAGCTACCTAGCAAGAGCCAGCATGCAGGTATATATGTATATAGATCACAGTACAAGCAAAGACTACAGCAAGTGTGGAAGCGTAGGCACAAGGCCTAACAGAGTACAAAAGCGCTGATGATTACCAGACGGAAGTGCCTTGGTGAATATATCAGCAGTGTTGGCCCGAGTGGCCACGTAACGAAGACAAAGCTGGCCTCGCTGCTGCAACTCTCGAGCCAGGAAGTAACGCAGAGCAATGTGCTTCGTTCTGTGCTCCAGTCTGTGCTCCTCACACAAGGCAATGGCGGCCTTGTTGTCAACGTACAGCACTGGAGGAGAACGAGGCTGCTCTCCCAAGTCAGTCAGCAGGTAGGTGAGCCAGCGTAACTCCTGTGCAGCCATGGCGGTGGCGTAGATCTCAGCCTCACAACTGGAGCCAAGAACTGAAGACGAGCGTGTAGAACGCCACGAAACTGAACCAGAGCCAAGGCTGAAGGTGTAACCCTGTGACGACCGCTGAGTAGCCAGGTCGTCAACCCAAGAAGCGTCTGAGTGCCCAGTGAGGACAACTGGGCTCGTCCCTCCAAGCACTAGCCCCATGCCTGATGTGCTGCACAAGTAGCGCAGTACCCTCTTAGCAGCAGCCATGTGCTCAGGTCGGTGTCGACCAGGAGCCACGTAGCGAGCGAGGAGACCAAGAGGGTACGCGAGGTCAGGTCGAGTGCAAGTCATCAGGTACATGAGGCAGCCGACTAGCTCTGGGTAAGGACCACTCGGCTCTACGGACTCGTCCGAAGGTGGAGCTGAGAGCGTGTGACCTGTAGCCAGAGGAGTGGCCTGTGCTGAAGACCAGGTGAAGCCGAAGCGCTGAAGGACCTGCTGCACCATGTGTGACTGAGTCAAGGTGATGGTGCGGCGTGCTCTGTCCCGGGTGATCTGCAAGCCAAGGTAGCTGCGCAGCTCACCCAAGTCAGTGCACGTGTGTCTCTTCTGTAGCTCCGACTTCACGTGGGCGAGAGCCTCAGTGTCAGCAGTGGCAAAAACCAAGTCGTCGACGTACACGAGGATGTAGAACGGCGGCAGTGAAGTGTCTGTGCGCAGAAACAGCGACGGGTCAGCAGTAGAAGGCGCAAACCCAAGAGCCGCAAGTGTCGTCCTCAGTGTGTCGTGCCACTCACGTGGCGCCTGGCGGAGACCGTAGACCGGCCGTCGGAGGCTCCACTGGGTGCCAGGAGGGAACGACCCAGTGAAGCCCGGGGGGCGGCGCAGCCAGATCTCCTCGTGCAGGCTGCCCTGTAAGAAAGCAGTGCTGAAGTCAAGAGAGTGAAGCTCGTAGTCACGGTGAGCAGCAACGTGCAGCAGCACCCGAAGAGTGGTCATCTTCGGGGTGGGGGAGAAGGTCTGGAAGAAGTCAACTCCCTCTCGCTGACTGAAGCCTCGAGCCACGTAACGCGCCTTGAAGACAGGCGGAGAACCCGGCGGCCGCTTCACCCTGAAAATCCACATGCCACTGACGATGTTCGCCCCAGGTGGGGGAACCTCGTCGACATAGGTGCCTGTGGACTTCCAGGAAGCCATCTCTGCGTCCATGGCTGCCTGCCACTGAGAGGAGTAGGGACTCTCTATCGCCTCAGCGTAAGAGCGCGGAGTCGGGATGTCTGGTGCATCCGGGTCTCCCTCAGGGGCAAGTAGCGAGGACACAAGATGAGGTAAAGCAGCAGCAAGACACTGGAACTCCTCCTGCCTGTCCTCAAGGACGTCCGTGCTAAGAGCACACTCACCCCCGACGGACGGAGGACAGACAGACGCAGACTCAGTAACAAGACCGGCGGCGTAGTCTAGACGACAGGCAGCAGCAAAGTCAACAAGCTCAGCGACAAGAGCAGACGCAGCAGTAGACTCAAACGACGGGTCAGTGACAACAGTGGCTAGCAGACGCGTGACAGTAGGGTGCTCAGCACGAAACCGGTCAGACTCAGGGTCTGGAACGTCAGGTAGAGAGGACGCAGGAGGAGAGGTTGTCCGGTCGACCAGGTTACCTGGGTGACGAGGTGCTGCGAAGGCTTGCGAAGGTCGCCCAGGTGGTTTTGGCGAGGACGACCTCGGTGATGGTATCCCGAGGTCGACGTGGTGCATCAGATGCAGTCGTCAGCACGAGGTGGACTTGGTGTGTGCGCTGTGCAGGTGACGAAGCAGTGCACGCCAATCATCTACGAGCACCTGCGAAGCGGGTGCGATGCTGGACTGCAGGAGCAACGCTGGCACGCCGTCGACTTGCGCTGTTGTCATGCCGTCGACCTGCAGCGTTGGCAAGCCGCGTCTCTGCACTGCTGGAGCGCG